TAGGAATGAAGCCAAACAAATATGTTAAGTGCATACATTATCTATCCTCACTAAACATGTACAAAGCATATACCGGATTGTTATATTTTAAAATGTTTAATGTTTTGCAGCCATGTGTTGTCGTTTGCAGTCTACTGACAGATATCAAGATGAGCTTTTCAATGCAAAGTAAACCAATAATGCATCTTTCCTACTGTTTGTGCTATTATCAGACCCAAACATCTTTTTAGGTCTACTTTTTTATTATTAGTGGATGGAACATGCACCAGTGTGTTTGTGTGACAGTCACTCACAGTGGAAAAGAACATGGTGAAGATGTAGACTGAAGCCTCCAGCAGGTAGTGGCTCCGGATGGCTATGGCCACCGGAGGGACAAACATCAGGTTACTGAGGCAGAGCAGCAGGGTGGAGAGGAGCTGGAAGCTGTAGGAGTAAGCCTCCGAGTTGTCTGTGCATCCCCAGCCCTCCCAACCTAACACACAGACACACAGTCAGTACTACACTGTATGATGATCTGAGAAATTAGACATCGAAGAGAGAAGAAAGCCTTTGTGTTCCCAGACTTTTTAAGGTTGGAAAGGAGAAACTGGAGTTAAAATTGTTTCTGACTTCCCAAAAACTGTGAATAGACTTTAAGAAAGTTTTCTTGAAGCTTTAACCCTTTAGAATTTTAAGTATTTTTTTAGATGTTTAAAATATGTATCTCTTGACAAGATGAATGCTCCATGGAACCTTATAAAAAAAGAAATCTCTGTGAAAAATAATCAAAACAGATAAATGAGAGGTTGTTTATTTTCTAACCAAGTCTCCTGATGTGAACTAATCTAGAGAAAAAACACCCCTGCTCTGCTTCTTTAATTCAATCTTCAAAAAAGGCTGGATTAGATACGACAGTGTGAATTAAATATTTGTGAGCACTGTTGAACGGAGAGTTTGCAGTGTGAGACGGGCCAAGGGCAAGTGCTGAATGCAAAGCGCCTGCCAGGAAGCAGTCACACATATGAAGTACGACAATGAATTGAACTGAAGAGAAAGCAGCTCTGATAAAAGAACATCAAAGGCAGGATTTTTTTTAAAGCCCCAGAGGATGCGCTTTGTTTAGTTTCATAAACTCATATTTGATTGAAATGCTGTTCGTAATTAAGAGGGTGTATTATTGGCTTATATTAGAAGATTAATACCTAGCCGCTGTATGACTCATTCAACAGCGGCACTTTGATCGCAGTATTGCTAGGTCAATTGAAAAGATACCTGTCCCATTTAACCTCGCTGTCTCCCATTCGCTTGTCACACTGCATGATGTATGTTCAAACTAATTGAAAATTATTTGCAGCAGTGATGACCTAATTCCCTTACATAAAGTCATATCTTATCTTGTATGCAAAAAAGCTTTTGACTGCTGAAAATCACTTTCACTTATTAATTCATGGCCACGCTTTTTGCTGATAATTAATTAGTGATTAATAATGAAAGACAACGTAGAGAACATACACCAAATTTGTACAACTATTCATTGACTTCTATCAAACAACTTGCTATGCTTTGTTGGTAACCGGCTTCGATAACTGGGCTTAGTAAATGCAAATAGAATTTCAAAAAGCGTACATTGAAATAGAATCAAAGATGACATAAATAGACCACCTAATCTGAATTCAGTGCACATTCAAAGTGTGCACAGAATCAAATCAGCAGAGAAGGAGAAAACAAGCTCTCCATGTGAGCCTGAAGAATACACTAAACATGATTTACAGATTTTATAGGGAAGTTCTTACCTGCTTTGCATTCACAGGCAGCATAAAGATAGTTGTTTGTGCGTAGAAGCTTGCACTGTCCATACGTCCCACAGTCATTGATGCATGGAGTCAGGTATGCGCGCATATACACCTCAGCGGTGACATTGGGGCATGCTTCAAATCTGAAAAAGTCAGAGACAGGCAGAAAGTTAGTTGGAGGTGAAGAAGACCAACATCACTGCAGCACCACAGGGGAATATACGTACCGTATTCTATCAGTGTGAAGGTAGAAAGCTGCTACTGTTTCACTTTTAAAAGGATTTCAAATGACATATTCTGCTCTCAAGATAGCCTTTCTTATTTGTGGTCAGTTGATGTGGCCAAGCTAGAGGCATGGAACTGGAGATGGCAATGTCAGTCTGTCTTTCATGATTGAATGGATATCCAGGAAATGTCCATCCTGTTCCCCAAATGATGAATCCTCATGACTTTGGAGACCCCTTGACTCTTCCTCTAATGTCACCATGAGGTTCACAGTTGTGGTTTAGAACGAGATGTCTCAACAACTATTGGAAATACTGCCAATAAATGTGATTATAACATCATGTACCCATCAGGATGAATACTAACAATTGTAGTATCCATGGCATGATTTAGAAATGTCCAGATATTCCAGATTTACAATGTTATCCTGATAATCTTTGATACATGCTTAAAACTCCTAAATGGCACATAAACATACTAGAATCAATTGAGCTTTAATTTATTAAGCAACTGGTTTGGTTTCATCAAAAAATAATAATACTTTAATCCGAGTGTGCTTGCTTTTTTCTTTGAAAGTCATCACATAACGGCATTGTAATACATGGTTCGGCTGCATTAAATATTACACATCTGCCGTAGTTATTTATTTATAGAGCCCAGATTAAAAGACCTTTGGACCACCTGGAAGAACTGCCACCGAAACTGAATACTTGACGTGGATCATAAATATATCAGCAATTAAACTTCTTCCATTTCTTGAAATGTTTGGCTCTATGAAACCTGATGTACTTATATGATTCTGTTTTCTTCAAGGTTGTATCTTCCTGGTCAAATGTACTTATTGTAAGTCGCTTTGGATAAAAGCGTCAGCTAAATGCAATGTAATGTAATTTCTCTTCACAAAATATGTCTCCTTGCAGTATCAACATTAATTCGGCTGACTTTTATATTTGATCCAATTGGTAGATATAGTTATATTTACCCCATAACGGTGCACAGCTGATATAAAAGGACTTGTAATTTTTAAAGCTATTACCGATTTTCTTTGAATATAAGAATGTAAATACTGAATTGAGAGAATAGTCAGGGGTTTGGGGTGATGGGAGACACATCTATGGATTCACAATTTCAATAGCTTACCATTGAATGACGGATAAACCTTTCTTTCTTTGATGTTTTACAAATCAGATATTAACGTATAGAATATGTGAAATAATATAGCAATATCCTGTAAAATTATGTGAAAACATGAATAAAACTACACATCTTCAAATGTTATACATACATAAGTGTCCTACACTAATAATAAAAAGTTATTATGGCTGTGTGTACCTTGTGTGCACCGCCTAGTGGTTAAAGCACGTTATTGAATTCTTTTTTATATGTTATGTTATATTTGATGAAAAACATATTAAGAGTACATAGGGGGAAAGTAGAAGGTCAATGATAGAAATAGAGAATATAAAAAATCAAGAAGATACTGTAAGTGATCTCTACAATAAAACAGTTTAGTGCTGGATGTACAAAGATATTAATATGAGGATGTGCAAAACAGACAAACTAATTAACCTTTATTAACACATTAAGAGAATACTTTAGGTTAAGGTCTTCTTTCAAAGAAGAAAATCTATAGATAAATATTAAGCCTGACAAGTACTTAACGTCTAATATATTGCTTTCCTGCAATGTTAACTATGTTGAAGCACTTATTTTAAAGGTGGGGTAGGTAAGTTTGAGAAACCGGCTCGAGATACACTTTTTGTTATATTCCATGGAATGCTCTTAACATCCCGATAGCAATGAATATCTTAAGTGCTTTGACAAAAAATCCATAAGTACTGTAAAAAGCACGGCCCGGCTAAAATAACTGGATGGCCTACCTGCCTGTCAGCCTTCCATCTGTGCACAAACTTATCTCGTGCCCTCATTGGTCATGTGCGCGTTCGTGTGTGTTGGAGGAGGGGCTCTGTAAGGAAGTGGCAGATTTTTTCCGGTTGTGTATTTTCAAATTCTAGCGCACTGAAGCTGGTTTCTCCAAAATTACCTACCCCACCTTTGACTGATATTATGAATTATACTCTTATGTATGTAGATAGTATAAGAAATGTGCAGAATACAACAGTTTAATGGTGGAGGTACACATATTGATAGATGTCTTGTAATGCACTGTTGAGGAACCTG